CCCCAAAACCCCAAAACCCCAAAACCCCGCAGGGATTGAAATCAAAGGATTTATGAAATTATTCAAATGCTAATATATATCTCATCACTTAATTAAATCAATTTATAAGTCTATTGTTATGATTAAACTTTTTAGTTTGCATCTCTTCTCTAATCTCATCTTTCATTCTATTTTCTAAATCCATTTTCTCTAATTTTAAGATGTCTACATAGGGAATGCCTCTCCATAAAATATCATAAGACTCTCGGCTTCCTTTTTACATTTTCTTGAACTCTTCAATCTTCTTAATAATCTCTGCCCTCATTGAGAACAGATCACTGCTGTGCTAGACTTAACTATATTTCTGGGTGAATAAGTTTCCAAACGAGGTTTCTTTTCGCCTAATAATTTTATAGATATGCTGACTCTCATTTTTGAACTCAGCTAATTTGCAAGTCTCTGTTTCGAGACTGGCATAGATTGATTTGGCTTCTCTCATTTACAGTGATTGGAGAAAGCTCAATCTATTTTGATAGGATATAAAGCATTATTCCCATAGATCGACTAGATATTCACACATACCATGATCGCTCATACCACTTTAAGCCAGCACATATTCTATATTAGCTATGATTAGCTTCTTCTTTTGAATGTAGTCCTTTTCAAAAGCAATTTCGTCATCTACTATTGATTTAATGACAAATTTGTACTCTGCTTAATCAGTTTTTCTTGAATTCTTATCAGACTTTGTTAATGATTGCAAGGTTGAATGATTAACACTAGTGTTTTTGTTGTTTGAAGGATCATTGTTTCGATGCTTTTAATCGCCCATTTACCTTAAGAGCTAATCATAAGTAAATCGCTCTGAATTTAAGGTCAAAGCTCCATCATTTTCCTTGTCCAGACTATTAGAATTTAATTTGCCTTAATATGGTTTACACCCTACTTAAATAGGTGTAAATCTTGACTGTAGCTAAAACTTCTCAACAGACTCTTTAAGTAACTATTTGACTAGACTTCTTGAATCATAGGGTTTTATGTATTATCTATTAGGTTAAATTCTTGGCTTGAAATCTGAATCTCCATAAGTGTCAACTGGTTTATCCTAATCTTGATTTTAAAGTACTGAGTTATCTTAAGTTCTTTGAACATCATCATCTTCCTATCTATCATGCTTTTGTTTGTTTAATGAGCCCTCTAACTCATCTTGGTTACCTAAATAGGGTGAGGATATATTGGGATTAAATGTTGATTCTTTGGTTAAGCTTATGGGATTAAGTTGAAGTAAGACTGAATTAGGATTCATTTATTGCATATCTTATCTATGTTAATTACTCTATCCCTAGATTGTTTGATTTTATACTAGTTTCAGATTTGGTATATTTGCAGATTATCTTATGTTCTCTTATCTATCAAAGGTACTGTACTGGTTTTCATCCGCAGTAGTCTTATACATATTCTGGGATTTTTAGACTGATACATGATAATTTTTACATAGCTTTTCACACCCTTCATCTTATTATAATATCTTTGGTTAATTTAGACTATTTGTCATCTTTGGAGTCCTCTCTCTTCTTTTTTCTTCATTTTCCAGTTCCTTTACCTTCTTTTCTCTAGCTTCATATTCAATCTATGCCTTCTTCCTCTCAATATCTAGTTTTTCAATCTTCATTTTATCATTGATCTCTTTCTTCTACTCATCCAGCTTCTTAAGTCTAATAAGCTCTAGACTTTTCAGCCTTGCCACCTCGATTCTTTCCTTGTCAAGTTAATCCTTGATTTCCTTAATGCGATATTCAAATTCACTCTTAAGCCTCTATTCTAAATTTTCTTTTTCACGCTCATACAAACTTTTGTACTTTCTGACTATATCTTTTTCACGCTTCTATAGTTAGTCGTCGGCCTTTCTTGAGACTTCATAATCAAAATCTCTTCTCAATTATTACTTCATGTGCTATTCTTTTTCATCTCTTTACTGCTCATACTTCCTCTTGATCTATTCCAAATGCTTATCATTATTCTCTCTAACTTCACTCATCACTCTTTCCATAATATCTTCTCTAACTTTGCTTTCTATTTCTCTTGGTAATTACTGATAAAGTTCTTGTTCAATTTTCTTGCTTAGCTTATCTCTTAACTTCCTGGTCAGTTCAACTTCTCTATCACCTCTTAACTCCTCAAGACACTCGGATCTGATAATTATTCTTTCATTGTCTAATTATCTCTCCATCTAAGACTAAAGTTAGAACATTCTTTCTTGCATTATAGTTTCAGACTCCTCTCTAGCAATTTTTATATTCTCTTCTATAGTATCCTTACACTGTTCTTCCATTTTCTCCCTCTCTTTTTCTAATAATTCCTCTAGTTTGAACTCATATTCCTACCTTATCTCAATTGTGAGTTACTCTCTCCATGATTATATTTTCTTTCTCTTATAGTCTTCTTCCCATTCTAGGAAATTTTCATGCATGCGTTTTTCTACTTCCTTATCAATTCTTTCCTAAAGACTTTCTAGAATCTCTTTATTCAACTCTTTACGGATAATATCTCTCTAGGATCTGAGCTGGCTTTGATATTCATTTCTCAACTCATGATCAATCTCCTCTCTAATTTTCTTTGATAGTTCTAATCTAGTTTCATGAGTTCTCTCTCTTAGGACATCTTCATAATGTTGAGATATCTGCTCATGAAGTTACAGTTCCTTTTATTTCAAGGCACTCTCCATAGATGAAAAGTCTCCATGGTTACCAAAGTTTGACACTTTAAAGGTTAGCTCATTATCTTGGAGTCCTTGAGTATTTTAATTTTTGTTCAATGAGTTGGTTGACTTTACTCTAGCAGTACTTTTATTAGATTTTCCAGCTGCTGAATTTTTCCTACTCAAGGATGGTCTATTGTTTGGTGCATTTGATACAGTATTGTTTCCCTGAGTGTTATTTAATCTGGCAGATTATATAGTATTGTTAGCAGGATTTATTCTATCAGAAAAAGCAGTCGAGTTGATGTTATTCGACTCATCAAATTTGTAAAGTGGATTTGTAGATTAGCTGCCAATTCCAGTAGCAATACCTCCTCCATTTTTTCTTAATCTCTTTTCACATACTTTTTACACTCTTTCTCTTGTTTCCTTAACTGTATCTTGGATCTTCTTTTCATAGTCTTAAATGATCTGCTCTTTTTCAATGGAATGCTTAGTCTTGAGTTTTTCTATTTCTCTGATGTTGTGAGTCAGTTCTCTTCTTAGTGCATCTATGACTTTGTTCTTTTCATCAATAATTTGCATATATTCATCTCTAGGAGTCTCAGAAGATGCTAGCGTTTGAGACTTTAATTAAAACTTATGAGTATTCCCTCTCTAGTTAAGTAATCTTGGATTAGAATTTTCTCTACCCCTTAAGCCTTCATTTGAATCATCTCTTATCTATGAATTGCTTCTATTACTTTGCAGATATTTATTAGGAAATGCCCCATCACTTCCTTACATCAAAATGCTATTCACCTACAGATTATTAGTGTCAGGAGTGAAGAACATTTCTTTGTTATTGAGCAGCAGATTCCCACTCATCTTTTGCTATAATTAGGACCCAATCAAGTTATTAACTTCTTCTTCATCATCTTCAGTTGTTTAATGATGCTTGGTATTAAGTCTGTTATGATGCAAAAAATCAGTTCCCTCAGAGACTAAGAGAAATTTGTGCTTTGCTTGGCTATTGATATTCATGTGGCTATTATGTCTATGCTAACCTGCACCAAAGTAATCAGTCTGATCCCGGGTAAGTCTATTGCTATTGTTATTATTGTGGATAGGAGATTATGACTCATCAATACGGTTGATTGAACTTTTTAGTAGATTTGTGTCGGATAAATTAGTAATGTCTCCAATTACAGTTGATAGTTTATGATCTGAGTTGTCATTATTATGCTACGGTCCCTCATAAAAGCTATCTTAGCCTTCATAATTAGGCTAGTAATCTAACAAGCTGTTATTATTCATATTTAAATTCAAATTAATTAGGAATTATATTTATTTCATTTTAACTCAAATAAATCAAAATTGCAAGCATGGGGTTTTGGGGTTTTGGGGTTTTGGGG